CCAGAGAAACAATGTGCAAACCGGGATATAGCCAGTGCCTAGCTCCGGGTTCACTCGGGTCCTTTGGGGGCAGCTCTAGTATCATCCACCCCAGGTGCACCTAAGTAGCTAACCTCCTTTCCTAACCCTTCCTCCCACCTCCATTTACCGCGTTCTCTGCACGGCCTGACCCACTTGGCTCACCCCGGGTCCTTTCCTCACGACCAGGTTCTCTCCCCTCCCCCACCCAGGCAAGGATTTTTGCCCTCTAGTTCCCCTGGAGCCAACTGAGTCTTCATTCTGCTGGGGCCAAAGCATCTGGAACGGCTGCAGGCTCCACATACAATAGCCACATTGATTATGACACCCTTAAAGGGGGTAAAGGCTCTCCTGGCAATGTTTGCAAGACAGAACCGGCTGCTCCCGAGTTTTCCATTTTTGTTCCAGATCTGCTTCCGCAGAATATCAAAGAAAACTGAAGAGCCTACAAAAAGAGTTACAAACAAAATTCAAGACAATATACTCACACAGAAAACTGTGGTGCGTGGGGGGTGATTTAAATAAATAATACCCACCGCATTTCCATGTTCCTTCCCTTCAGCTTAAAGTAGCCATCCCAGGATTCCCACATCAAGGCATAAAACAAAGGGCGGCTTTGAAGTGGATCACCTCAGTGTGAGCGGCTGCCTGTTACATGAGAACCGATCATCGGCCTTCAAATTTATGGCGCTTTAATAGAGTAGGTCCGCTGTCTTAAATGCAGGGTGTGTTACTGTACTGAGTTATCCGGGCTAAACAGAAGTGATTTAGAATGGGCACTCTGGGCTTCCCAAAGGGCAGAAGAGGCTCAGACTGAGAGGTTGGGACAATGTGGGCAAATAGTTCTTTTCCCAGCAAACCCGCTGAGGAGTGGTTTCCCAAACCTGAAGTTGCAAAGCCATCAGGGAAGAGTGTCAACGCTCGGTCCCAGTGAATTAACAAAAATGCCCAGTAAGAGTCGAGACCCGTGGGTTATTTGAAGACCCGGCTTAAGCAAAGTAAGGCGTTAGATCAACGTAAACCTCTGAGAATTTTAAGAGAAGCCAACACAAGCATCACCTCCCACTTCTGTCTTAACTGGCACCGACTGACGGTGGAAGTCCCGTTATTTACTACCATTGCAGCGCTAGCACAGCCCGGTGCTGTCGGCTCCCTCCCAGCCCAAGCCTCCTTCTCCCTCGGCCTTCTCACAGCCATGGTGGGCGAGCAAAGGCCACTGCCGGCTAGCAAACGCCTAGCGGGTCTCTGCGCGTCCATGGAGCCTCCCCGCGTCGGAGGCCAGGCGGGTAGCAGGTCTGTGGTCCTCGGCTGGGCTTGCGATCCTCTCTTTCCAGATCGGGCTACCGAGCATAGCTGCTGGCCCAGGCCGGCGCCGGCCACTTTATATAATCCCGCAGCTCGCACGCAGGGTGTGTGGACGGGAAAAGTGCGGAGTAGGGGATTCTTTTGCTGCTCTGCCTCCTACGCGGAGCCTGCTTTCCACTTCTAAAAAGTGCCGGGCCTTGGGAAGTGTTTTTCTTTTCATTCCTTACTGAAGCGTTTACTGCTGCTGTGGTCGCAGTCATAAATTTTGTTACAAACCACAATGACAGGTGCATTGATATGCACCGTGAGAGCTCCAGCTGCTTAATAACCCTGTCCCCTGGCCGCTGTGAGCGCCTTTTATTTATTCGGTATCATATTAGGTATTGATCTGGGCAGAATTAAGTGCAGTGAGCAAGTATCAGGGCTCCGTTGCTTCTGAGGCTAGGCCTACTGGGCGGGCCAGCGCGGCTGGGGAGCGAGGGATGCGAACTCTGAGAGGGTGCCTGGCCTTTCTTCCGGCTGGAAACCATTTGGCCCTGTCTTCTGGGCCTGTGGTTGGGCCTCCACGCTGGGTTGGGTAACTTCCAGGGACTTTGGAAAAGAACTAACCAGTTCAGTTAGGCGACCCTTCCCTAAGAGGAGAGGAGTGCTCCAGAGGACAGGGTGGCTGCACCGCACTGTGTTCCTCTGGCCGGGGAGGGGGGGGGGGATAGGAAGAGAAGGAAGAGGGGGAGGGGCTAGGAGGAGGAGAGGAAAACTGAGGACTACTCCAAAATAAGAAGTCCTGCTCAACTGCTCCTCCCCCAAAGCTGTGCCCCCCCCCCCAAGGCTTTTGGATCTTGGTGCTCAAATGAGCAAAGGTACCAAAGGGTGAGAAAAGAAAGCCTTAACAGGGAGGGGGGGAGTGATCGAAAAGATGAGCCACTGAACAGTTGACCATTGTCCAAATGATTTATGACCCAGTCCCGTTTTTTTAGGTTCAAGCAGAGTTCACAAGGAGTAGAGATTTCTGGAAAGAAATAAACTTTTTTAAAAAAAAAGATCAGTTTTGTAACAATATTTTCAGGTTGTGCTCTGGAAACGGAGCTTCTTTAGGGCTCTGTATGGTGGGTGCTGCAAAGTTGTGCGTGCGTGCGTGTGTGTGTGTGTGTGTGTGTGTGTGTGTGTGTTTCCTGAAAAGAAGAGCACCGCTGCTACCTTTGATTGTAAAGAAGTGGACATTAGCCCTTGAAGTGGGCCTGGAAATTCTTTGAGACAATGTAAACAGGCGAGAGACGACTCTGGTTGTGAGGGCTATCTGTGCCTCCGAGGCCTTTATAAGAGAGATTTTGCTAAGAGCATGCCAAAGGAGCAGAAATAATATGTAAAAGCCATCTGTCTCATAGGCTTGCTTGGTTCCTCAAGAAGCTATTTTAATGTGACTGGTCCACCTCCCAAGACAAACTTGGTCAACATGGAGGCAGAAGGGGGATGTTTTGCTTCCACAGCTGTCAGGGAAGTGACAAAGCAGCAGCAAACAAAATCAGGTGGTCCCAGGAGCCTGCTGCAACCACTCAGACCTCCAGAACGGAGCAGGATCCCTGAAAAGCCCTAAAACTTAGTCGACCTAGTGTGGCAGCTTCTTTGGCCTGAGGCAAACGTATATAAATATTAGTCACAGAATGAGAATTTACTGTTCCTTTGCTCTTTGGTAACTTTAATAGTCAGGGGTTGGTATTGAAAATTAATCAAAAGAATTAGTCTAGCTTTGTTAGGTGGATATCTTAACTGCACACATTTATGGATACTAGCAGAAACAAGGCTTATGACAAAACATTTCAGTTACTACTGCAACCCACTGAGAAGGACCCATCTCTCTCATCAAGATAAATGGCATATTCACTTGTGTTCTAAAGCAAAACAGGCAACCAAACTACCAAACAAAGGCTAATTTGGAGACTTTTCTTCAGTGGTTGGGCTCTCTGGTGGAAATATAGGGGGAAATTAATGCAGAAGTGTTTTGGTTCCTGTGTTTAAGTCTGCATGATGTGGTCTCTCTTGATGGAGGAAGCCAGGGAGAATTTTGGGATGAGCTCAAGCACTGAGGCCAGAGAGCTGACCTGTGGGTTTTCTTTATCAAACAGACAAAAGTGATTGAACGATATTAGTTATACTTTAACTCCTCGGGAGCCTTTCAGGATGGGTGAGGAGAGCACCCCCTCATGAAGAGTCAGAGCACACAAAAGGAGAAGAATTTTTCTTAGTTCCTTTCCATCCTTCTAAGTCTGGGTCCATCCATCATGTCAGGAGAACTTCTCTCATTGGCTACAGGTTGGGTGACAGGTGGGGCAGAATGGACTGTCCAGAGCAGAGGTCAGTATAATATCTATTTGTGTAAAGAGCCAAAGGAAAACGATAAAGTTATGAGAGCATCCACCATTCACTCACACTGCAGCATTTTAAGATCTAAATCCTTTCGCTGTTTTTTAGAAACACCCCTCCTAAAAGTGGCAGAAAGACAAAGTAGGGATGTGGGAAATGCAGATTAAAAAAAAACACACAACCTTTCTCCCCCTCTTTAGCTTCAAATTAAGTTTGGGAGTCTTTAAGTCTTCCTTTTGTTTTTTTGCTTTCTAGTTTTCTACACTGTAGATTTCAGAGTGCTGACCCATAAAACTAACTGTGTGGATTCTCACCCTGCCATCAAAGTGGACTGTCTTCTGAATCTAGGTGGGAAGTTCTGGAAACTCTGGTTGTGTACTAGGGCTTCTCTTTTGTCCATCCAGACTCCGAGATTAGGGCTTGGGGGTTTGTAGAGTCCCCACACAGCATTAGGGTTTGGGGGTTTGTAGAGTCCCCTCACAGTATTAGGGCTTGGGGGTTTGTAGAGCCTCCTTACAGCTTGCACAGAGCCTTGGAGCTGATCTCTAGCACCAAGCAAAACCAAACCCCAGGATTATCCAAAGACTGACTGTAACCTATCCACTCATTCATCCATCGATTCAATAAACACTACCATTGAATACTAGAATTATGTAGATGAAAAAGAAAACACAATCCTTCCCTTTAAGAAGTTCATCTTTTAGAGAAAGAATCAGTCATCCATAAATGTTTTCCCACGCAGGCTCAAAAGCTGTGTTGACAATCTTGGAGAAAGACAATTCTCTAAGAGAATCTTGAGGTGGAAAGAACTTCTTCCTTAGGCTAAAGTTGAACTCAGGAGGAAAGGTCTTTTTTTGTTTGTTTGTTTTTGTTTTCGTTTTTCGAGACAGGGTTTCTCTGTGGTTTTGGAGCCTGTCCTGGAACTAGCTCTTGTAGACCAGGCTGGTCTCGAACTCACAGAGATCCGCCTGCCTCTGCCTCCCAAGTGCTGGGATTAAAGGCGTGTGCCACCACTTCCCGGCCAGAAAGGTCTTTTCTTACATTTAAGAGAAATACTCCAACTTTTTCAAAATTTTGTTTAAATTGAGCTTCATAAAACACCAATCCAGAACCTTGCCCATCCTTCTACTTCGAAGTGAGTGGGAAGCTGAAAGCCTGCTCTAGTCTGTTTGTATTGATTGGTCTTGCCAATGGCAGTCCCTCTAGGATCTCTCCCCTTTCTTTCTTGGCAGGTCACCTGGAACCTGGGAGTTGACCCAGCTCTCTCAAGATTCAGCAGACATTGGCCTTGGTGGCGAAGGGGAGAGTGGTAGTCAATGTTATTTGAGCAGGGTCAGGAGGCCCTGGAACTTCCTCAGTGCACCATGCAGAAGGCTGCATACTATGAGAACCCAGGACTCTTTGGAGGTTACGGGTACAGCAAAGGCACGGAGGCATATGGCTACAGCACTCCTCACCAGCCCTACCCACCCCCTGCAGCTGCCAACTCCCTGGACAGTGACTACCCAGGTTCTGCCTGCTCCATCCAGAGTTCTGCACCTCTCCGAGCCCCAGGCCATAAAGGAGCTGAACTTAATGGTAGCTGCATGCGACCTGGCACTGGGAACAGCCAGGGTGGGGCTGGTGGCAACCAGCCTCCTGGGCTGAACTCTGAGCAGCAACCACCACAGCCCCCTCCTCCACCACCCACCTTGCCCCCCTCCTCGCCCACCAACCCTGGAGGTGGAGTACCTGCCAAGAAGACCAAAGGTGGACCTAATGCTTCCAGCTCTTCTGCCACCATCAGCAAGCAGATCTTCCCCTGGATGAAAGAATCCCGGCAGAACTCAAAGCAGAAGAACAGCTGTGCCACTTCAGGTAGTTCTCTGGGCATCTCTAGACCATAACCCTTCAGACTGACCTTAAGAACCAATTACCTGGAAGCCAAGAGACTCAGGTCTATAAGAGCAACCTTAGCAACACTGTATCCAAATGTAGAAATGTCTGTCTTTTCTAGTGATTCTCATTGGATACATACTCTTGCAGAGACAGGGCATGCTTTCCTCCCTGATGCCCTTGCTGGACTGATCTCAAGCGTATTAATAGGAAGTTCTTTCTAATGCTGACATATTATCTGCCGTCCCAGGCACTCATCATAACTCAGCTTCCTCTTTTACCCACCAGCCCTTCAAATGTGAAGACAGGCAGGGTGTGGCTTTGTACATCTATAATCCCATCACTTGAGGCTGAGGCAGGAGCGTCTCCAGGTTAAGGAGCGCCTAGGAAGCGTAGTGAGTTCTTGGACACCATTAAGAGATTTTTGTCTCAAAACAGAAAGCCAAGTCAAGACAAATAATACCCCCAAAGAAGAAAAAGAACCATGCTCAAATAAGTTATAAACATATCTATTTATTTTATTTAACTTTCCAAATACCTCTTTAAAATAGACACATGCTAACACCCTCATTTTTCCCAGATCCCCAGAACTGCAAAGTGGTGGACTTGGGATCTAAGGGGCACGACTTCAGGGCCTTCAGGGCAAAACTGTAAGACTCAGCTCACTCTAGAGAACCCATAACAGCGAAGAGCAGGTTCTAGGGGAGAGAATAATTTGGAACCAGAGCAGCTGTAGGCTTTCCTGCCCTGGGAAGGGAGACTCTAGAGCTGAGGAGACTTCTGTTGGTCCATTTTAAGTCTAAAGAATATGGGTCCAGTGAGGAGCCGATGCCCAGGCCCTTCCTTCTTGAACGGTTGGTTCTGGCTTTGCATTCTTGATGGGGTTGAATCTCCGGGTCCAGGGCTAGTCTGGAGCCTGGGATGTGATTTGTTATCAGGTCTCTGCTCTGCCTGATGCTCCCTGGGCTTGTGGCTCCTAAAGGAAAGCGCCTTCCTGCTCTAAAGCTCCCCCCTCTGCCCCTCCCTCCTCAGCTCAGACACAGGCCCTCCCTCCCAGGAGAAATCCATTTGTCTTCCCATTGAAGGAGTGGACAAGCAGCTGAGGGGCGGCAGGGGAGGTGAAGCCAGTGCTGAGGCTGCATGGCCATATGCAACATGCTTTCAGCCTGGCCTTGGGATCCCCTCAAACTCCAGGGCAGTATCTTGGTGGGGGGATGTATTATCACCTCCCGGCCTTTGGGTGCACCTGGCTGGAGTCAGGTGCCAAGACCCTTCCCTCCCTACTTCTTCACTCTTTGGAGTGCTTGACTTGTAAACAAGCCAGTCAGGCTGGAGCTGCCTCAGACACCCCAACCTCCAGCCCCTAGTCCCCAGCAGCAGAGCTTGGGAGAGGTGTTCAAAGAAGCCTGGCTTTTTTTTTTCCTTTTTTCTTTCTTTCTTTTTTTTTTTTTTTTTTTTTTTTGACAGGGGAGTGTCTCACAAGTTGCTCTTAGCCTCACAGTAAAGTCTTTCATGGCCTGTGGGTTGAGATGAGATGGTGGGATAGGGTGGAGAGGAAAGGAAAGGCAGAGGAAGGCAGCAGCTGCAGGTGCGACTGGACAGGTAGGCCTAGAGGCGTGTAGAGTAAGTGTTCCTTCAGACTTTGACCTATCAAAACCTTCTACCAGACTGGAGGGATTGGAGGTGAGAGCAGAGGGGGGAAATGAAGGCAGGAAAGCACCCCTCTCTATTCTGAGGTTCCTTACCCCTAGCTCAGCACCCTCTCTGTCTCTACCTCTGCCCAGGAGAGAACTGCGAGGATAAGAGCCCGCCGGGCCCAGCATCCAAGCGGGTGCGCACGGCGTACACGAGCGCTCAGTTGGTGGAGCTGGAGAAGGAGTTCCACTTCAACCGCTACCTGTGCCGGCCACGCCGCGTGGAGATGGCCAACCTGCTGAACCTCACCGAGCGCCAGATCAAGATCTGGTTCCAGAACCGTCGCATGAAATACAAGAAGGACCAGAAGGCCAAGGGCATTCTGCATTCTCCGGCGGGCCAGTCCCCAGAGCGCAGCCCACCTCTTGGAGGAGCGGCGGGCCACGTGGCCTACTCCGGCCAGCTGCCTCCCGTGCCCGGCCTGGCCTACGACGCACCCTCGCCTCCCGCTTTCGCCAAATCGCAGCCCAACATGTACGGCCTGGCAGCCTACACGGCGCCGCTCAGCAGCTGCCTGCCGCAGCAGAAGCGCTACGCGGCGCCCGAGTTCGAGCCCCACCCCATGGCGAGCAACGGCGGCGGCTTCGCCAGCGCCAACCTGCAGGGCAGCCCGGTGTACGTGGGTGGCAACTTCGTCGACTCCATGGCGCCCGCATCCGGGCCGGTCTTCAATCTGGGCCACCTCTCACACCCGTCTTCGGCCAGCGTGGACTACAGCTGCGCCGCGCAAATCCCTGGCAACCACCACCACGGACCGTGTGACCCTCATCCCACCTACACAGATCTCTCGGCTCACCACTCGTCTCAGGGACGCCTGCCCGAGGCCCCCAAACTGACACATCTGTAGCGGTTGCCGCCGGCCTGGTAGCTCGGTGCAATTACCTCTCTGGTTTTGGTGGCAGGGGTGGTGGTGGGGCGGGGCCCGAGGGGCAGCTCGGGGCACCCCCCTCCCGGATCTGGTCTGGCCGCTGCCTCTCGAGTCTCCGGCTTCCAGCGGCCGAGGCTGACACTACTGGGCCTCCCCTCCAGGCGCGTCCTCCTTTGGGTGGCTCGCTATAAATCAGCCGCAAGGATCCTCCCCTGTAAACCTGACAGTGCCATATACTGCGGACCGAGGGACTCTAATCTGGTAATGGTGTCCCTAAGGTAAGTCCGAGACCCACCCGTGGCGTGTCCTGAAGAGGGACTAGAGCCTGGAGAATCCCGGGCCTGGCCCCTCCGTCTAGCTTAGTTTCAGAGACCTTAATTTATATGCTCCTTCCCCTCCTGTAAAGATTGCATCGGACTAAACAATCTGTATTTATTATTTGAAGCGAGTAATTTCGTTTCCCTGATTATTTATCCTCGTCTTAATGTATTTATGTGTATATTTGTAGAATTCTCCAGCTGGGCCTAGGTACGCGCTCCCGGGCCTTGGGGGCCACATTTCATCTCTTTAGTCCCCTTGGTCTGAACTAGTTGAGAGAGTAGTTTTGAACAGTTGTAACCGTGGCTGGTGTTTGTAGTTGGTGTAAAGGATTGAGATCACAAAGGGCCCTTCATGGTTAGAGGCAGGCAGCCCGGTGGCATAGCACGGCGTTTCTCAACAACCGAAGCCCTCACCACTCGACACAGCTTATTGATTTCAAATTGTCTGATACTATTTGAACAAACATTTAGAATAAAAAAATTTTTTTCCTCAGTTGGAAGTGTATCTGTGTTACTCACACACATTTGCAGGCAGACAACTCTGCCTTGATCCCTCTGTAAGCCCCTCCCCCAATCAAAAAGGACCCTCTGAAAAATATTTTGTTTATTCAGAACCTATTGCATAACTTGTCTTGGAGGGATGCTTGATTACATTCACGCTATTGAAATTGGGCGGCAGTAACCAGAGGGTGCAAACCTGGAGATATTCTCGGAGCGTGATTGTAGGTAGGGTTTTGCCAAAGTAGCACCTGCATGACTCTTTCTGGACATAATTGTTACATTGGAGGGGGGGAGGCAGAGCTCATTTTTCTGCATTAAATAATAAAAATTAAACTTTTGGAAAAAACCTGACAATCAAAGAAAAAGCATAAGAGAAACAGGAAGGATTAAGCTATGAAAACCTAAGGTGCAGGGGTATAAAAAGAAATGACCACGCAGAGACAAGCACCCAGGCTTTTATCTCTAGGAAGTGCTCAGGATTTTTTTTTCCTTTGTAATGGTCAGTAGCTCATTTCAAAAGAAAACAAATGTTCTCCATAAATGTAAAATAATAAAAGTTTCATGAATGGAACATCACACACAGAAACACCTTGTTTACTCCTGTTTCTTTGTGCAAAATGGGCAAAAAGCCTACAACATTTATAATCGTCTTGTAAATACTAGTGTGGCTCCGACTGGGCTGGGCACTTACACCCACTTCTATAGAAGGGGATGCTTGGAGTCTTCAGACAAGGTTCAGTTACTTTGTATTTCAGCAAAGTCCACCCACACATCTCTATTTGGTTTGGCAAACATGCAAGCCCCACGACCAGCCTGGTGACACGAGGTGGAATTCCTATTGTGTGAAAATAGCTTCTCTACTGGTGGGACAACTATCGTTTTCTATTTGGATGTTTGTGTTTCGCTCAGTAATGATGATGCAAAATAATATTTAGTTTCCTTGTTCCTCTGTGCTGTTTTTTAAAATGGCATGTTAGGCTGGGGTGGGAGGGGATAGCCTTTTGCTAAATTTCACTCTATCTGAGCAAGTTTAAAGTATATATGTTGTAGAATTGTATCAACAGAATAAATGACTTCAATCGAAGGCATATTTTACCCACTCTCAAGGCTTAACATTATTTTCTATGAAACTTGCATTTATAGACAGAATCTATAACGGCAAGAAATTATTATTTTAAGCTCTTAAGGAAATGAAAGAAGAGCTAGCTGCATTGTAGGAAATCATAGCCCACCTTTCTTAACTGGCTAAATATTAAATAGATGAAATGTCAAGCTGTTTAGATTCAGCCCGGTTTCTCTCATCTCCTCTTCCTACCATAAATAATAATAAAAATACATAATGCATCATGGCCCCAGGCATTTCCCAGCGCGGTGGGTTACCGCAGGAGTATCTGCTGAGTCTGCGGGTGTCTGTAAAACCCCAAGTGTCATCTGTGGCTTAGGGTTTCATGGATTAGACTTTAAACAGTGTCTAGCCCGGTTGACATCAGCTTCCTCTCACACATAGGCTCTCTAAGGAAGTGTCAGGTTGGGGGCTCCATCTGTAGGCAGAGGCAGCCTCCCAGGCCCTGTGGTGGTGTAAGGGTGTTGGGAGAGGGGGGAGGGGGTCGCTTCGACCAAATCTGCGGCCATCTCTCAGATCCCGAAGTTGTAGAGACAGCAGAGAATTGCTTGGTTTCTTTCCTGCCACTGACGTGAATCACGTGATGGACACACTCGCTCCTAGCGTGAGTGGGGGCTGCGGCGAGTTCTGGGAGGGCGCACTCCCACGCGGCCGCCCGCCGGAGAGAGCTGGGCCCGCGGCACAACCATTTAAAACTTCATAAATTATAAACAAGCCGCCTTGGCCTTCGCCATAAATTCCGCTCCTCTTGAGCCTGCAATTAGTGTTAGGAAGCACCCAAGTCTAAACACAACCAAACGCCCTCTGAAGGGCCCAACTGCCCGAGGTTGCAAGCCTTTATTTATTTCCCGGTGCCACCCCTTCTGCACCCGAGGTTTGCACACAGTCACCTCCTCCCCCGCCACCGCGGCAGTACACACTCCGTTGGGTTCCCGCTCAGCCTAGGAAGGTCACAATAGCAGCTCTATCCGCAGAGGCGCCTGCCGCCTCCTCCCTCCCGGGTCTCAGAGAAGCAAAGAAAGAAGAGTGGGGGAGGGGAGCCTGGCCAGCAATGGCGCCCCAGTCTCAGGCCTCCGCTCTAGCTTCAAGACCCCTGGCAGGACACTATGCGGGAAGTTGGCAAGGGAAGGGAATCACCACCCTCGGTTCCGCCGTGGGGCAGAGGACCACCGACCCTCATCGCCAGGTTGAGGATGCCCAGAAGCAGACAGGTCTACCCGAAGCACATTGTGCCAGTGGCTTCCTTTCCGGACCTTTGCAGAGAAGGCCTTAGCCACAACAGGGGGGTATGCCAGAAGGGAGGAGCACCAGGGCCTCTCCTGAGAGTGTTGGTCTTGAGAGGTCTACCTCTTTTGCTGTAGGGGAAGGATGGTTTAGTTCAGGCCTTGACCAGCCCTCCTTTATTCTTCATAGCGTTTTTTTGGGGAGGGGTGGGGGTCGGGAAGGTTGTAGATCTCCATTAGATCTGAAAAACTTTAGCTCTGAAGGAAAGAAGTCAGGTTCTTGAACCTGGTTCATGGATGGCAGTCATTTGGGCATCCCTAGGTGTTCTGTCCAGAGAAGCAAATGCAGGTTGAAGCAGGATGATGATCAGGCCTAAGGGGGTAGGGTTCTGCTGCAAAATGGAGGTGGAGGCAGAGGAAGAAGGGAAGTTTTCCCTGCAATCTGGGAAACCTCGGGATACATTCTGATGTGCAGCCAGCCAGGGGAAGGGAAGTTGCCACGGAAAGCCTTGGAGAGTAGCCCTGGCCACTGGCTACTCCACTAAGGAGATAAAAGGGCGAGCAAGTACATATTCTGCCTCCTGGCTTTCAGAACACAACCTCATCCAGGGATGTGACAGAGAAAAATCCGCCTCTGATGGAATCATTAAGTTAACCATCCATTTGTACCATTTCTTTGTACAGGGTTTCAAAGGGGAGAGAGGAAGAGAATTCAGAGCTAGTACTCTCCTTTGGTCCTCACCAGAGATGCATCAGCCAAATTGGTTTCTGAGGCCCCAGAGGCTGCTAACCTTGCTGGACAAGATTTTTTGAATTTCTGGCTCTAAGAAGTATTAACGGGTAGTGATCACCTATACTAGCTCTCCCTTTTCTTCTTCCTCACCCTGTACCACACCACCAGCCCTGGATTGAAGAGCTCTTCTCAGCTTGCAGCCTTAGAAGTCCAGGCTGTCCTTTGTTGAGGGTTTTCAGTAGGGAGGGCATAGGAGCCATGAGTGGGTGTGTGTTTGAATAACAAAGAACTTAACTCTTCCTTCTAATAACAGTGCGGGGGAGGCACAAGCTTGTTTACACCTTCAGTATTCAAGGAACTGTCACGGGTCTGTCTTGACTTCACCAGGAGAATTGACTGAAACGTCCTTCTGAAGTCAAGAATTGGGTAATCCCAGTTTAGAGGGCTATCTAGGGAGGTCTTCTTCACCTGGAAGTTCTTGGCGAAACTTTTGTCTTTCTTTCAGAAACTCAAAGAAAATCACAACCCAAGTTTACAAGGATGCAAGAGAGGCAGGAGGCCCTAACCCCCAGATTTAATCTCATCACTCTTGGGCACTGCAGTTCCCCAGACAGGGTATATATAGAACCTGGGTCAATAGACCCTTGGGCACCAAGACACTCAGGGCGCTGAGACTGTATTGTCCCCAGCCAAGCCTTACCTAACCCATACCTCTGAGTTCTTTTAGATTTCTCTCTCAGAAGAGTGGATAGCAAAAGACTGGGTGGGAGAATCCTCTACCCTTACAGCCGGGCTCCTGCTGAAGGGAGGGGTGGCGAGAGAGGACCATCTCCTTGTTACCTGGGTTTCTACTCCACTACAAACAAACGTTCTTGCCTCTGGGGTCCAAGGTTGGTGTCAAAAGACTTAGAAACCTGACTGAAGTCTTTTCTTAAACACTTCCCTCGAGTCTTTCATCCTCCCTGTCAAGTTGCAAAGTTCAAAGACAATCCAGTGTCAGGTCCAGTATGAAGCAAACTGACTTCCCACAAGGGGGAAAGCCCAGGGCACCAGGGTGCCCAATCTTCTGCAGCAGAAGA